TACTGCTTGAATCCGCTGGACAAGGTTGACTAGATAACGATTACGCTGTTCTTCGTTGTGCCTAAGATAAAAGAATATGCCCAGTTATTAGTCACGGGCATTATCAAATTTGCCATCAGTTGGGGTGGGGCTTATTCAGTAAGGGGGTGAGAACAATAGTTTGGTAATCCGGCCCACCGTTACGGAATGTATTCACATATCGAGGGATCGATATTTCGCAGTCCAGAAGAGTGAGGCAATTTATTCTTCCGGCCTGTCTTCAAAGTGTTATAGTTATACGAATAACGACTGAGTCTGGTTATTCCACCGTCTAACTGAACTGTGTAAGAGATTTATCTTGAGATCCGACGCCCGACAAGTCAGCAAGGGAAGTGTACTGACCATCTGCACAAATTGAAAACGTGTCGTTCATATCTCAATAGAAAAATATCTGGCATAGAATCTGAGAGTGGACAGCTATATGGCTGTTGCAGACCCCCATTTTCCGTATTTCTCTATGCGCCGATAGGTTAATGCTGGCTTATTTTACTAGACCACATATAGAGTGCACTGGTATGCGCGGAGGCAGAAATATGAATCACAATAATTTGTCCTACACATTTCCTAAAGGCGCTAAACTGCTGTACACAAGAATAGAGCAGCTAGGCAGGAAATATATTTTACAGCCCATAATTTTTCATGCAAATACACACCACACAACAGGACAATAATCTTTATGACCTAAGGTTTCACAGTTAAAGACGCCTATTAATTTGAACTTGGAGAAACGCAAACTACTTTGGAATAAGGGAGTAGACGCAAGTAAAAACAAGCATACCAGTAGAAGAACGCCACGCCGATGGCAACAAGGACAATTCTTTCCCAGGATGAATATGCCAAGCATATAGCGATCATGAGACTAACTCTGAAGAGGGTGTACGCAAATTCCACTACGTCAAAGCCTTCATCAGCACCATCTGCGGCAACTGCTTGCCCATTGAAATCACCTTCAACCTCGGCATTGTCCGCTTGGCCGAGATATCGAGCCCAACGCTGTAGAATGTTGCGAGGTCGTACCTCCTGCTGATCCTCGATGGGCGCATCAGGTTCGGGTGTGGGAGGAGGGGACGCAGTATTAACCGACTGGACATGTGGACCAGTAGACAGCTGCGAGATATGGCCTAAAACATGAAATGCATGCATTGAGCTTAATTCTAGTTTGTAGTATTGAGCCACACAAGGAGAAACATGAATCATGCAACTTTAGAACAAAGAAAACCGGAAATAATTGAACAAGTAATATGATAAAAAACAGTAGCCTAAAGCTCGTCGTGTAGGATCAAACGAGTAAATATTCGCTTAGAGAGGAAGTAAACATAATAGTTTCGGTTCTTCAAGTATAAAAATAGCATCGTAGTCATAGGCATTTGCTTAGCCAGATGAGGTCAGGTAGGTTTAGGATAATAAGTTAACATGCGGCCAAAGTTCCAAACCGTCAAGATTGAAGGAAAGGTTTTGGAAGGAAGTGGTATGAATGTATCTGTGTTAATATAGAAGTCAGTTGGAAACGTCTCCGTAACAGTCGACCTGGTTTTCGCTATGACATTCGCTAAGTCCAAAATCTACGATTCTGACAAATACCAATTTAAGCGCTTACACCGTCCAAAGGAGCAAACTCTTATAATGTATGGCGCACCATAGATAACTGTCGATATTCTTACTAATCGAGTAGTGGCGTATGCGTCCGCAGGTAAAGCAGTGACATTAAACACCAGATAAGATAGGGCTGGTGTTCAATTAATACACTCATTTAACTGTGATCAGAGAGGCGTCTTCAATATCACAGCTTTCACTGAACGCAGGCATTAGAAGCCTCCGCTGTTGCCATCATACAGAGCCTATTGCGAGCGAATGCCGATGAGCAGCGAACTGAGCAAAAGGTGATGCACGACATCCCAGCATTTATAGGCAATTTAATTTCAAAGACAGTATGTGACTGAACTTCTGTAGAAAAGCCATCGCAATAAGTTCAAACTTAAAAAAAAACTTACGCATATACTCAAGCTGCCATGTAGCCTGTCCGTTGGGATTTGACTGGGCGGCATTCTGATAGTACTGCTGAAGATAGAGCATGTACTGCTGCCGTAGTTCAGAAAGTTCATTTGGATTAGGTGAACTAAACATAATTGTAGAAGTGGACTAATTTTCATACGTTTCTTTTTGACAATCCGACTTTAAGTCTGAAGCGGTTTCCTTAGTAGTTGAAAATGTCGCAACGAGATGAAGCGTGCGCGAAATTGGATTCTAAAAATGCAATATACACACAACAATGAGCCTACCGGACCGAAAACTGCTTCGAGCTCGTCATTATCGGATAGTAAACGACCGGCGAAAATTAATCGTTGACTCTCCACTGGCGGTTGTCCAGGATACACCGCTTTCAGATGCTTTTTAAGGTCTATGACCTTCCATTCTTTCTGATAAATGACTGATTGTGGAGGAATATTATGGTTTGGAGAGACAATAGACAAAGAAAAATCAGAGGGTGTCATCCCACAAATTCACCTTTTGCCAATGTAATTTAGATTTTCATTGGCCCACGTCGACAAGTTAATTTTTGATGTTCAAGGTCTCAGCACAGGTTAACCATGGATATCAGGGGGCGAATATTCAGGATCTACGTATTCATTGTACAGTCCGCAGAATTCGTCATAATAGAACATATACCTTCAAGGAACTACGAAATTATTTTATGCACGTCTACCGGAATCCACTGCCAGTACTGCTATTAACCAGAAAATGGGTGACAGTGTCGCAGGCCCGAGCCCGAAGCCAACAGTAGAAAACGAGGGCAGTACATCAACCATAGACTCCGGTCGTACACAAGATGGTCACAATAGCAGCACAAGAGCTTTTAACGAGCAAGCAAGCGACAGTGTCGTAGGCACGAAAAATGACACTAAGAG